AAGTGAAAGAGAAATAAACTCAGTAGATTGTCCAAACTGTTCAGTTTTCAATTGGTGGTATCAGTACATACTTCAATGTCACTATATTAATTTTAATTCTCTTCCTCCCCACCCCCAAGTCAGAGCTTAATGTCAGCACAACTCTACAAACTCCACTTGCTACCACTGAGAGGCTGCCATGTAAATTCAGCGCAGAACTGACACTGCACCACACCTACCTCTGCCCGAGTTCCTACTTGATGCTAGTCCCCTCTGTACTGTGCTGTTCCACTGAAAACACCTACATGGAAAGCTAGTCCAGATCATATATAGAATCATGGAATGCTTTGGGTTGGAAGGGACCGTTAGAGGTCATCCAGCCCAACCCCCTGCAGTGAGCAGGGACAGCTTTAACCAGAGCAGGGTGCTCAGAGCCCCGTCCAACCTGACCTGGAATGTTTCCAGGGATGGGGCCTCCACCACCTCTCTGGGCAACCTGTGCCAGTGCCTCACCACCCTCACTGTAAAGGTATATGTGTATATGACACTAACCATCCTCCCTTTACCACCCTCACCCTGCAGTTCCCATCTTCTGCACTTAAGCAAACATGTGGTTGATGAGCACAACTGGAAAGGCAATGGAAAATGTTTTTTTAATATCAAATACTAAATAAAATGCTACACACAGCCCACTCCCCCATCTCTCTGCCCTTCCATCAGTCTCTGGAGTGCCCATAATGCCATCTGTGCCCAACTTTTAACAGCTGCTCAACACAAGCAGCAGCTGGGTGCTCAGCACAGGGCAATACGAGGCCTGCGTATCTCAATACGCACCCAGTAAGCTCCTGCACTAGCCAAGTTTACCATTCCAGTAATCACATGGGGTGTTTACTACACCAGAAGCTTCTAAGATGCTCTACCAATTTTAAAAGAAAAACCCTCTTTAGATCAAATTTTAACATGGCCTCTGGGACTATTTACCATTATTCAATTAAAATGAACTATTTAAAATCCACCATCCTTTCAACAGAATAAAATTTCAAGTAAAAGCCATGAAAGCTCCAAGACTTGAATTAATACCACCTGCACTTACCAAAGAAGCATCAGAATGTCAGCGAACATAAAATCGAGTGAGACAACACACCACTTGGGAGATTAAAGAGCTTCAAACTTGCAAGAAAAATCAAAACCAGATGTTCTCCTTAAAGTCAGGCATCATGAATCCAAGTATGGTGCAGATACTTACAGAATGGAACAACATACAGTGTCCTATTCGGGACTGGATATCCTCGGGTCCAGCATTACAGGAATCCTCTCTCAAAAGCTTCCATGTCTGACACTGGCAGTCAAAAGCAAACAATCCACTGAACTGCGGTTCACTGGCTCTGCTGTCATCAACGCTGCCATTGCAGGTCAGAATTCTGCCTCCAAAGGTATATATCATGTGTTTTTCAGAATCCATACACATCTGTAAGAACGACAGAAGTAGTTGCAAGCCAGCACGTTAAGACTTGAACACACAAAGATTAAACATCCCTCCCCTGCAAGTGATGCCTAGTAAGACAGTACTCCACACATCTCCTGAACCTCTAATGAACAGAAACGAACATGTGTCTTCATGGTTGACAGGTATTACTCTCAGAAAACAGTCCTTTATTTAAAATGTGAGTCTAATTTTAACTTGTTTATTAAATAAGAAAAAAAGAGCCTACATACACCCTTCATCTTGTAAAAAATTGCCTCTAGCTGCTGATTTTAGGGAAAAACTTTTTAAGAGTTTTTCACCACGATTCATAGCCAATTCTGTCAAAGTTAACAGAATATCACCTTTGACTACGGCTATGCAAGGGAAAACTTCATCACTGCTAATTTACTGACCGCCACTCTACTGATCCAAAACCAGCCTGCGATTTGTAACTCAGATTCCACCCCAAGCATATATTTCATACAGTCATAGAATCGTTGAGGTTGGAAAAGACCTTTAGGATCATCCAGTCCAACCATTAACCTAACATTACCAAGTCCACCACTAAATCAGTTAAGGGGAGAGTAGCAATTTCATGTTTCCTGGCTTGGTGGCTGGATTATTTTTTGATGAAAGTAAAACACTAGAATAGAATCATTAAGGTTGGAAAGGATCTCCAAGACCATCAGTCCAACCATCAACCCAACACCACCATGCCCACTAAACCATGTCCCAAAGTGCCACATCTACCCGTTTTTTGAACACTTCCAGGGATGGTGACTCCACCACCTCTCTGGGCAGCCTGCTCCAAGCCTTGACTACGCTTTCCGTGAAGAAATTTTTCCTAATTTCCAACCTAAACCTCCCCTGACACGGGTTGAGGCTGATTCTTCTTCTCCTGTCACTTGTTACTTGGGACAAGAGACCAACACCCACCTCACTACACCCTCCTTT